CATGAACCATATTTTACTTCCTTTAGCAGTGGGTACTCATGTCCTTAAACCTCTTTTAAGAATATCATATAAAAGCTTAATGATGCTAATATTAACAAGCTCATAAAAATATGTTATAATAAAACTTTAAAAAATTATGTTAACTAATACATAATTATTTTCAATGAATATACATAAACAAGTCTGCACAAAAAATTGGAATTCCACAAAGCAATACCTTTCCCTAATTTCACAAATGAAAAAAAAAATTCAAAGGACAAGTGAGGTTAGAAAAGAATCAGCTCCATCTCAAAAGATAGAAGTACCAGTCTTTATCTTATAAAAGAATGGGTATTTCTCCCTAAATGATCAATTTCACTGAAAGTTTATCCTTTCACTATCAGTGATTCTCAAAAGGCCTGACTTAGAGAAGGGAGTGGTCTGTTCAGTCAGGCCTGAAGCTATTTTTCAGGTTAGTTAAGTATCAAAAACCTTAGAGCAGCTCTGCTGAGTGCATCATTATCTGCCACTGCAGAGTGACAGCCACAGTTGTGCCACTTGGCGATGCAGGGTCTGGACCTTAGCAGTGACCCCACTGGCATCTCAGTCATTACTTAAAAAAAAAAAAAAATCACCAGAGACATAACCTTGGCCACTGGTAATTTGCTCTTGGCAAAAGAAAGCTTACCTTCCAATAGATTTCCAGAGCTGGTTAAAGCACAAGTCCACATACACCTTATTTATATCATATATCCAGGGTGGACATATATGCATGCAGAATAATGTATCCTTAATGCAAATTGTGTGGATGAAATATATCTTGCTTTTAAATGTATTCCTTGTTCTTATTATCCAATTCTGACACCAGCCTCCTCAATCAGCTACATTCCTTTGTATGTACTGGGGCACAAATGTAGAAAGCAAAATGGATAAGAGAAATGTAGATTTTAATTAAAGAGTAGAAAATAAAGCATTTTCCATGGTTAGCAATAGAAATTCTTAGATTCTTTACTTTTCATTTTTCATTGAATTTATTTCTTCCTACTAGGAGATTTAATTTAAAATGCGAAGAAATTTTATTGCCAGAAAGACTTTCAGAAATTTTTTAGAAAATGCATTGAGACATGCATTTTGAAAAATCAGATGTACATTTCAAAATTAAAAAAAAAATAAGATTAAAACATAATGAAAGTTATAAGTGTAAGCACAGAGAAACCTGTGTTGACTTTGAGTGACAAAAGGTAATATCAAGATCATTCTGAATCATCCAAAAAGATCACTGAACTCATTTATTAGTCCTCTTAGATAACATTTAGTCTAATGATTATGACTTACAAATATTTCTGCTCTACCATTCAGTTCACTCAAAAGCATTCTTCTTACATTTCTTGAAATGGTTTAGAAGGTCAAAATTATTTTTATCCAAGAATGGTGTGCATGTAAACACACACAATTCCAAGGTAACCTTGGCTCCTCAAGCAAAACAGAACTGAAGTTAGGTTATCTAAAACTTAAATAGTTGGACTTAAAAACCAGCAGACATCACAAGACAAAAGAACTTTTTCTGGGTTCTTGTGAAGGGCTCTTTTCAGTTCTCTATAAACATTGAGACCTGTGGAAGCCTTACTGTCTGCCTGGTGGCAAACAAAAACATTTTTCTTCCCCAAATTCCCATAAAATAAAAATTTTAATCTTCAATCAATACAAACCCAGATGTTTTTACTGAGAAGATCAGATGTGATCAATGCATATGAGAGAGTGCCTTAAAGTTTGCAAACTAATGAATTCATGCACACTATTGCCTAAGAAATCCTCACAGGATTTCCTATTTCCCACATGAAAGAAGTTATACTTCTTACCAGGTGTTCTTTTGAGTGCACACACATCACTTAAATCTCATGTCTTAATATTTCATTCTCTTCCAGTTTAATTGAAATATTACTATTTAATATCTCTGTGGCTTTGTCCAGAAATTCTCTTACAGAAAACCATTCTCTACCTTTGAACTCCTACTCATACTTTAAAACTTAAATGAAATACCTTCAATGAGGATCTCTTTAAACCCACAGATTTATCACTATTCCTGGAATTTCCCCCATACTGTTACATACACATTTTCTATATCTCTTAGAAAATTCTCTGGTAATTTTTGGTTAACATTTTGCTTTCACTACTAAATTATAGACTTTACAAATCAGGATCATTCTTACACACGTAGCCACAAAACCAATCATAGGGCTTGTTATATGCTAATAATCCAAGTTATTTTCTTAAATACCTAGTGTTATGTGTTAATTTCTTTATTCCATAATATTCTGGTTATTATCCTTATTTAATAAAATATATCCCAGGCATGTAGGACATGCCTTGTACTAACAGGCACTTGGGAAGCTGAGACAAGAGAATATAAAGTTTGAGGCTAGGCTTAGCAACTTAGGCCCCAAGCAACTTAGTGAGGCCCTATTTCAAAATAAAAAGAACAGGCAATGTAACTCAGTGGTAAAGCTCTTCAGGGTTCAATCCCCAGTGCCCAAAAGTAATAAATATGTAAATAAATAAAATATATAATGTAAATATATAAATACATTTACTGAAATCATTAATCAACAATACAAAATTAAAGTTCATATTAAAAATACAAGTTACCTTGAGTCAGAAACTCATAATATTCAAATTAACATTTGTTTCAGTATCCTGATGTAGAAAATTGCCTTAATTATCTGGTGTGAATGAAAAAAAGGAAGTTCTTAGCTGATTAGAGGAAAGTTAATTTGTTTCTGGGATTCAACATGAATTTTGAAGGGGGCAAACCACATTTAAACCATAGCAATGAGAGCAATCTTTCATTTCTCTATCCTGAAGATTTGGGGTTTACATTAGCAAAATCCCAAACTATTGATCATTGTCTCTGTTAGGTTAAGGACAGCAACCATATACATCCTCAATATTTCCATTCAGCTGACTTCAATTACAATGTAAACCGTTTTCCCTAGTGTTTTAATTCTGATTCCCCTGCCTGAAGAAGGGATACTGACTGACTGAAAGGACTCCAGAATTGGTTCAGTAAGCAGTATTAGTTCTCATTATAAATCAGTAACTTCCAGTTCAAGTTTATGTGGAGTTTTGTTATTGAGCAATAGATTCTGGTAGGTTTCAATCTGATCATTTCTAGATGCATTTAGCAAGAACTGAATTTCTGGAACTACAAAGGTCAAGCTGACTCTCAATTAACTGTCCAGATCCCACCCCAGAGGACCTAGACAAGTGGCAAGTTACTTCTACTCAGAAATCACTCTCATTTTCTATAATTGCAAAAATAAGGAGTAAATTTGAGGGAATTTCAAAACTTGATATCTACATTAAATCTGTTAGCTTTATGCCTTAATAGTATATTTAAAGCAGCCCACATTTGTTGCATTTATTGAATGGTCCTAGAGAAGTGAAAACAGCCAGAAGTGGTAAGTTGAATATGGATTCTAAGGATGAAAATGAAGACAGTGAACACTGTAAATGCAGAAAGAACATTTGCTGTTTTGCATTTGCACAGATATTTCACATCTTGAAACTGAATCCCTTTTGTATTGAGTCTAATAAAAATCACATCTCTAAAGTTTCAAGGAGCAGAGGATTAGAGCAACAAAATAAATTGTAAGGAGCAGGCAAATGAGCTAATAGGCTTAAAATGGTTAAGGAAATAGATGAACTAGTGAATCAAATTGCTCAGCATTTTCAATATGAACTAATGACTAGGAAGAAGATTTTCAGTAGAGTTTTATGTATGAAATATAAACCCAAGGGAAAAGAGGAGGTATTTGGCTCAGAACAAAGACACATAAATAGAAGGCCTGGTGATGAAAATGAGAAAATGAAACTTTAGAATCAATATCAAGTACATTTTTCTCATCATAAGATTAGAAACATTCCTATTAGGTTACTTAAATTGAGAAAGAAATAACATAGATACCCCCCCCCCAAATATATTTTAATGAAAAAACTCAGTGAAGTAAGAGAGAGGTATTCTTAAATCTTCCGGGTAATATTAATTTTTATAATTTTTTTGTGGCAAGTTCTTGCTGTAGCATCTGTTTAGTATTAATTTAGGAAGTTAAAATTATTTGTGCAGAAGCTCCTTAAGTCCTTTCTAGAAAAGGGATAATAGATATATTGAATGGACGATAAAGATGTGGGTAGATAGACAGATAAATGAATAGAGGCAGAAGGACTGTTGAAGAGAGAGACAAAATTAATTTACAACACTGTGAAAATTAATCAATCTTTACTTTTTCACAGAAAGAAATGTCTATAACAAAATGCCCTATTTCCTTCCACTTGGGAGTTGAAGAGAACATATATAATTCTGCCCTCCTGGATTTAGGCTCCATGTTCTCAAAATTGGCTACAAACTATAATTCCTCGGGAGGACAGTTTATGGTACAAATTCCTAGAATGTATTGCAAGCCATGGAATCAAAATCTTCAGGAGACGGGCTCGAGCACAGGAAGTCTTAAAGGCACTACTGAGATTATTATGGTTCCAGAATTTAATGTAGCAGCACTCATAACTCTAGGAATGAGAGTTTTAATATGTAAACTTTTCAGTCTTTGAGAAAATAAGTAGTATACTTCATCTCCTAGAATATATGTTCAGTTCAGTTGCCCAAGAGTGTGTTAAAAGTCTGCTGGTTCTGTGTTTAGGCCTTTGCTAAATGCTGGAAGCTGTGGACAGAGTAAGGGGAGGTAGTCATATCAAACAACAATGAGAAAGGAGACTCCCTCCTACAGAATTTAGAGTTTGGTTGCCAAATATGAATAAAAGACAAATGTGAAGCGTGTGCAGGACAGTATAAGATCAGGGATTTGGATACTGGGGAAGTGTAGCAGGAATGTCAAAAGGAAAGATCAGTGTGGGCTTGTGCTGCATCACAGGACTGCTGCAGCTCCTTTGGTCCAGTGTGGAGGATGTTTTATAATAGAAACCTTTGAAATGTGAGATGCCAATACCCAGAATCTCCTTCAGGGGGAGGAGTGTGCACAGTGAAGAATGGAGGAAGGAAGGAGAACAGAGTGCTGTCAGATCTTGCATCGGAGACTATGCAAGAAGGTCAGTGCTTCCTCTCCTCTTCTCCAAACCTAGGATCATTCGAAAATTAGCCCATGCTCTGCTATGACATGGGTTCAAAAGTTGGGGATATTAGGAATCCCAAATGGTTGCTGGAAGCTGAGAGGGTCTGTAGGTATGTGGGAGAAAGGCAAGGGCTGAGAGAGAGAGGATACAGTGATAACTGCAGAGGATTTTTTCATGCATTAGATAATTTGTAGTCTCAACTATGAATTCCTATGGATTTATTTACATGCTTTGGTTATTTTCAGCAATTCTCTAATCCTAGTAGTCTATAAAATGATATGTTTATATAGTATTTTCTAAGAACAAATTGCTTTCTCAAGACCACCATATTATCATCTCTTTTAAAAAGATGAATTCTGATTTACAATTAGAGTCGAGACTGGGTGTCTGTACTCAAAACCAGTTCGGAGATGTGCTTATGACCTATTTTTGTGAATACTTGGAAAACATCTGCTTCATATTTGAGCAAACCATGTTTCCTCTCTGTCTTCATTCCTTCTCTCAATCTTTCCATCATATTATTTCTCTCACTCTTCAATGAATGTGAAATTTGAACTGAGAATCAAGTTCCCCTTCTTGTCCATTCTTTAAGCAATTTTTAATAGAGCTTTAAATTAAAAAGCTTCCTCCTCTTCTTTTGCAAATAGCTTCAATAAAAAGTGAAAGAAACTACTTTATTCCTTCCCAGGCTCAATACACCAGGATTTCTTGATCAGAATTCTTCCTAAAATGACTCTTTCCCTGGGCCTTGGGCCCTTTGGCAGATTTGCTCTGTGCTGAGGTTATCCCTGATCTCCAAGTCTTTGTAGAGCAAACAGATGGAAAGGGATGAAGTTGTATGACATTGTCAAAAATGATTTAATGAAGTTCCACCTTATTCTTACATAGAGTCATGAGAGCAAGTCTTTTCCCACTCAGCCCTGCATGGTTTTATTCACGATAGGAGCACAGCACAGCCCTCATCACTTAGAGACTGCCAGCTGAACCACAGTCAGCCCTCTTCAGATGCAACTGTCCACAGGGGAAGAGCAAGCTGTCAGTCAGACTTTGCCTGGATGGTCAACAGAGTTGTTGTTCTCTATGGGCCTCTCTCCCCAATAGGCCTGCTTTCAGGATGTGTCAGAACTGGGAAAGAGAGGAGCCAGAAACAGTTCTTACATAACCATCCTATCTTACTGCTGTCCACTCCGATCTCAACCCTTTTGAGATGGACATGGAAACTGTCCACTCCATGCTACCATGTGCCCGGCACTCTTAGAAGACATGAACAACTTATTTCACCTAGTTCTTGGGATCCTCACAATAACCTTAAGATAAACACTATTATTATCTCCAATTCACAGAAGAGGAAACTGAAATGTAAAGAGGTACAATGATTTCCTCCGAAGCTCACAGTTATTAAGAGTTCCAGAAAAGGGAAATTAGCAATTCCAAATAAAATCACAGGGATATGTGACTTCTAGCAAAGCCATATGAATAATAACAATTAAGACCATTTTAGGTGATTCTTTTTCCCCCCCTTAGGCCTATATTTCATTCACCCCTAGAAACGTCAGATTAGAGCCAAAGTGAAAGAAGACTTCAGATACCAAGAGAGTCTAAAAATCAACAAAAACTGATAAAAGGTAGGGGCTGAAATTCTGAAAAATACACTGAAGACATCCTTTTGGTGAGGCTGTTGCACCCAAGAGGATCAGACTGTTCTCTAGAGATTTCCTTTAAAAATTTATTCCTTTAATATGGATAATATAGCAACACCACTAAAACAATAACTCCTAGAACTTATCCTGCTTCCCTCTCATTGCTGCTCCAACCATTGCCAGGCAGAAAACAGAATGAAAGGCAAACATTAAAGCAAAAGTAAATTAGAAACAGAATTCTAGAACTATGCTTCAAAAGCAACTAATAAAATAAGTGTGCCACCGGCTAGCCTAATGTAGCAAAGGACAGAAAGTACAAACACTGATTGTGTTTTGATAAATGAGGAAAACGGCAGTTATAGAGGAAATTAAATGTTTGAAAACCTCAACGAAGTGATTGATTTTCTCGGAAAGCGCAAACCAGCAAAATTTACTTAAGAAGTGATAAAAATCTTTAACAGGTCAATAATCATGGAGGATATTAAGTATAAGAACTTGGTCAAATAGTTATTTCCTGAAACAGTGCCAAACTCAGTTTTAAAATTGAATTCTTCATCCTTAAAGGAACACAGAATTTCAATGTTACTTAAAATATTACAGAACTGAAAAAAAATGCAAGGCATTCCATTATTTTTAAGAAGCCAGAGTAACATCCATATCCTGAGAAAGTAAATGAGTAAATGAAAATTAAATTAAAAATTAAAAAATTAAATTAAATGAAATTATGCAATAGTTTTATTTACCATGATGAATAGAGAGAGCCATGAAAACGATTCAGCAGCATATTGCAACAATAAGTGATTATGGTCAAGCATGGTTTCTTCTTTGAGGGCAAAGATGTTTTCATATTATGTATCAATAACTCTAATTCATTATTATAGTAGATCAATGGAGACAGATCACCAGATCCCCTTAATATGCACTTAGAAGCATTTGATAAATCCTGCTTCCTCTTTCGCAAAATCCAAAATTCTTTCCTAATATTTAATAAATGAGTACAATGTAAACCTTAAAATATAAATTTTTGTTTATGTGTATATATTTACACAAAGAAATATTATAATTACTTGAAGTTGATGGGATTTTTAACCAGACAACTCAAAACAATAAACTTAAACAATTAATAGAACTTAAAGGTTTTAAATATTATAAAAAGTGATTCATAAGTTTAATTAAAAATCCTATTTACCATGGCAATAAAACCATAAAAAATTGGGGAATTTAAAAGGAAATAGAACCTGTAGAAATTAAAAACTAAGGAAAATTTGAATACAGGGATATATTTTGGTCCTAAACCAGATGACTTAGTATGGTAAAGATATCAATATTCCCTACATAAATCTAGAAAATAAAACACAGTCCCTGAAAAAAGTATGAACAAAACTATTTTGAAATTGATTTAGAAGAGCAAGTATAAATATATAATAATGTAGAAATGTTTTAAGTGCCATGAGGGCTTTTAATCACCCTTTCAGATACAAAACATAGCGATTATCAGAGTATGGTGCTGACCAAGGAATGGAGAAACTAATGGAACAAAACAGAGAAGTCATACAACCCAGGTAAGTATGAGAATGTAAATAAAAATTGCATTTTAAGTTACTAGAAAAGTAGTAAATATCGGTGGAACAACTTGGGGCATTTTGAACAAGTAAAGCCAGAGACTTATTTCACAATTTATTGGAAATTTAGATTGAGGCACACAGATACAAGAAGTGAAAATACTCCCCAGAGGTATTGGACACCTTATATTGTTACATTGTGTGCATGTGCAAATATGTAACAACAAATTCCATCAATACCTAATGTACAACTATAATTTACCAATAAAAAATATAGAAGAAAAAAATGAAAATAGTAAAGTACTAGGAAAACAAGTTGGTATTTTTGTAATTTGGGTGTATAAAATGCTTGAAATATGAAAACCTGAAAGTAATTTAGAAAAATCGTTGATAAATGTAAGCAGTAAAACATCAAAATAAACCATCAGTCTTCTTTAAGCAATAAACTTACAACAAATTTAGAATAAAATAACTCAATATAATTAGAAACCAAAAGGACTAATATCTGTGCTATTCAAAATACCTAATCATCAATGAGGACAAGATAGAAGACATTTTCGTGCTCAGTATTAATAAAATTGAGAAAATTTAATCAGAGAGATTACTATTCACTTAGAGAAGTAAAATGTTCATGTTACATAAGACATGCATTATCCCTTTGAGTTTACATTTGTACAACTTTCTAAAAGCAATTTGGCAATATCTTGTAAAATAAATACCAATAATTTTGACCCATTAGTTTCACTTAGTGAACATTTGTTTAAGTACTGAAAGGAATATGTACTGAGAATTCCTTGTTCCTTTTCTGGGGCAGGGTGGGGGTGGGGTCTATGGAAATTGTGAAGCACTGGAAAAAGCCTGAATACCCATTAATGAAGGTTATACATTGTGTTATGGTATGTGTATATAGAGAGGTACATCTCTACCTTTGGCAATGGTATATATACACCTTGTCTAGATTATTACTATAACCCATAGCCTAGAACATTACCTGTCACTGATATTCAACAAATTTGTGCATTGGATGAACACTTTATTCATTTATTTTAATTGCTTTTTTTTTAAAAAAAAAAATACATGACAGCAGGATGCATAATAATTCTCATTACACATATAGAACACATTTTTCATATCTCTTTATATAAAGCATGTTCACACCAATTCATGTCTTCATACATGTACTTTGGACAATGATGTCCATCACATTCCACCATCATTGCTAACCCCCTGCCCCTCCCACCCCTCTGCCCTATCTGCAGTTCCTCTATTCCTCCCATACTCCCTCTCCTTACCCCACTATGAGTAAGTCTCCTTATATCAGTGAAAACATTTGCCATTTGTTTATTTGGGATTGGCTAACTTCACTTTGCATTATCTTCTCCATCTGCATTCATTTACTTGCAAATGCCATAATTTTATTCTCTTTTATGGCTGAGTAATATTCCATTGTGTCTATATGCCACATTTTTTAATCCATTCATCTACTGAAGGGCATTTAGGTTGGTTCCACGGTTTAGCTGTTGTGAATTGTGCTTCTATAAACATTGATGTGGCTGTGTCCCTGTAGTATACTGTTTTTAAGTCCTTTGGATATAGACCGAGGAGGGGGATAGCTGGGTCAAATGGTGGTTCCATTCCAAGTTTTCCAAGGAATCGTAGTTTTGATTTGTATTTCTCTAATTGCTAGAGATGCTGAACATTTTTTCATAGTTTTGTTGACTGATTGTATATCCTCTTCTGAGAGATGTCTGTTCATGTCCTTGGCCCATTACAAAAACAACATGGTATTAGTACTAAAACAGACTGGTAGACCAATGGTACAGAATAGAGGACACAGAGACTAACCCACAAAATTAAAATTATCTTATATTAGACAAAGGCATCAAAAATATGCACTGGAGAAAAGATAGCAACTTCAACAAATGGTGCTGGGAAAACTGGAAATCCATATGCAACAAAATGAAATTAAACCCCTATCTCTCACCATGCACAAAACTCAACTCAAAGTGGATCAAGGACCTGGGAATTAAACCAAAGACTCTCTAAAAGAAGAAAAAATAGGCCCTAATCTTCATCATGTGGGATTAGGCCCCAACTTCCTTAATAAGACTCCTATAGCGGCAAGAATTAAAACTAAGAATCAATAAATGGGATGGACTCAAACTAAAAAGTTTCTTCTCAGCAAAAGAAACAATCTGTGAGGTAAACAAAGAGCCTACATCTTGGGAGCAAATTTTTACCCCTCACACATCAGATACAGCACTAATCTCTAGGGTATATAAATAACTCAAAAGGCTAAACACCAAAAACCCAAATAACCCAAACAAATGTATTTTTATGTGACTAAATAAAGTAGAATACAACATAAAATCATGCATCTATCAAATTTGTAAAATTTTCAAATTGTTATGACAAACATGTAATTATATGAGATCAGAATGTTGAAGTATGAACAGAGCACTCCATTCATACTGAAACTGTGGTATTTGGAGTCAAATTTTGATTTGCATTTCTCTGACTGCTATAGATGGTGAGCATTTTTTCATGTACTTGTTGATTGATTGTATGTCCTCCTCTGAGAAGTGTCTGTTCGGTCTTTGGCCCATTTGTTGATTGGGTTATTTGTTATTTTATTGTTTAATTTTTTGAGTTCTTTGTATACTCTGGATATTAGGGCTCCATCTGAAGTGTGAAGAGTAAAAATTTGTTCCCAGGATGTAGGCTCCCTATTTACCTCTCTTATTGTTTCTCTTGCTGAGAAAAAACTTTTTAGTTTAAGTCCCATTTGTTGATTCTAGTTATTAACTCTTGTGCTATGGGCATCCTATTAAGGAATTTGGAGCCCAACCCAACAGTATGTAGATCGGAGCCAACTTTTTCTTCTATCAGATGCAGAGTCTCTGATTTGATATCAAGCTCTTTGATCCATTTTGAGTTAACTTTTGTGCATGGCGAGAGAAAGGGATTCAGTTTCATTTTGTTGCATATGGATTTCCAGTTTTCCCAGCACCATTTGTTGAAGATACTATCCTTCCTCCAATGCATGCTTTTAGCCCCTTTATCAAATATAAGAAAGTTGTAATTTTGTGGATTGGTCTCTGTGTCCTCTATTCTGTACCATTGGTCCACCCGCCTGTTTTGGTAACAGTACCATGCTGTTTTTGTTACTATTGCTCAGAAACACAAACTTTAACTTCAGATTCTTGTGATTCCAAATTCTGTTCTTTGTCAGTGTTCATATAGCCTTAGCAACTGTCCAATTTCCCCATTTCCTTTTTTACAATAATTTTATGCTTAACAAACAACATCCTGGCTATACATCTGGTTTCCCAGTTACATGCCCCAAATAATGCATATTCAAGCTTTTTTAAGATGGCCACCCTATTGTACATAATATCTTTTTAGTTTACTGAACACCTATAGAAAGTTGAAGTATTATAACTCAGTCCCTTAAGTCCTTATTACCCTGGGAACAAATTAAAACAAAAATCAAGTTTCTGAGATTGCAAAAATCAAGGAACAAACTGTACCTATGCAAACCCAAAAACTCAGGTCACTTTTTGAAAATTTGTAGTAGTTTATAAACACAATTGTTTTTACAAATTCAACAGACACTTAATGAAAAGCTTTCTAATGAAGAGCCCCACTTTACCACCAAGTTTTAGAGGAGACTTACTAGAAGCAAAAACTGAAGTGCCAATGAAGAGTTCTCAAGTAAGAGAAAATGTACTAAAGGAAGGTCTGAGAAAGGAGGAACTTGAAGTTGATTAGGGAGTCTGAAGGCAAGGAAAGCAGGTTTCACTCCAGCCCAGACTGTGCTCTCAGTTTCTTGCATGCCATTTCCTTCTTCTTTTCCCCTCCTTTCTTTTGAAATTGGATTAAAACTGAGGCTTAGGGCTGAGTGGAGCATGTCTAGTAGACAAGGCTTTGGCTGGAAAACTTGTATTATACTATCTATAGGGGTAGCAGTGAAGGGCTACCTGACATGGACAAGGGTGGGTACCCTTCCAGCTGCTGTTTTGACTTAGAAAAACTTGGCATGGATGCACAGCAGTTCCTAAGGATACCTGAGAATGAATTTCACAGGGGAAGAATCTGAATTTACAACATAGCTAAGGGACAGTCCATGACCAAGTAGGCATTGAGGAAGTTGTTAGTTTCAATTTTCATTTCCACTGAAAATATTTATAAAGGATTATCTTGAAAAGCAGTTCAATTAGATTGCACTTATTCCTATATTTTTCTTCAAAGAAAAATAAAATACAACAATAAAACAAACCTAAAAGGAAGTTGCACATAGACATACACCTGAAGAACAGATCTGGTTACTGAATTCCAGTCTTCATTTTCACTCATGATTTGGATGAATGACAAACTGTTTTAGCACATGTATAGTAATGTTAACCATAAGTAATTTTATTTGGTTACTTAAATGATTAATGTATAATATATTTCAATTTGGTTTGATGACTTCTTTGGGGGGGGGGGGGGTACCAGGAATTGAATCCAAGGCTGCTTAGCCACCAGCCCTTTTGTTGAGAAACAATGTCTTCTACAGCCACTGATTTGTTCAGTTACTATTTAATAATAGCTTCCAAAGAAAAGTGTCTGCCACTTCGCTTGTCCCACGCTCCATCTCCACTTGCTGTGAATCCAATAAAGCTGCAGTCTCCAAGTTTGCTTACTAACATAAATCTTAGTTCCCATATCTTGCATCTGTCTTTAGAATGAAGCTGTCTCAGAAACACGAGATGTTTCTTAGGGCCTCACTAAGTTGCTTAGGCTAGGCTTGTACTCACAATCCTCCTGCCTTAGCCTCCTGAGCCTCTGGGATTACAAGTGTATGCCACCATGCCCAGCTTATGATTTATTTAAAATGATCTGGACCATATTTCCCCACAAGTATTATGAAGTTTTAGGTAAATTAACAGAATGAAAGTGCCGAAACTATGCTATGGCATATTTTAAAGTCAATTAAAATTCCCTTAAATAATAAATGTAACTAGTTCTTTGTTTCAAACAAGTTTTAATGGGCATATGTGCATACTTTCTATTTTTTGCACTTAACATGCATCTATATTTTAAGATTCTCATTTCAATTGACAAATTCTAATTACACATATTTATGGGGTACACTTGATATTTTGATGTATGTTTATATTGTGAAATTATGTAACTAATTAGCAAATTCATTTTTTTCCTTAAGTAACCAATTCATAAGCTAGTTTTCTGATATCAAATTTTGTTGATTTTCATACTTGACCATTATAAATAAAAAAGACCAATCTAAAAATCCAAATGAACTTTTAAATTCCTTTAGAGCCTTCTGGGGTTTTCTGGCATTATTTAGAACTCTAACAAATAAAGAGCAATTGGCATGTTTCTTGCTTTACTAGATTGCTTACCCAACAAAAGAAAAATTTTAAAATATTTTATTTAAGCTTCAGGTGACTAAGAACATTATTTTTTTATCTGAATGCAGTTGTTTTGTCTTTTCTTATAAAGTAACCTATTACCCACAGGTGCATTCGTCTGAGACTTTTTAAACTAGAAAAAAACATGACAGATGTCTGTTCAACAGAGATAATGACTTGGAGCATCTCACAGCCTCACTGAACATGAGATTCTGGTTCTTACAACTGCTGAGAAATATTGTGCCTGATAAAATTTAGTAAATACAATTCTCTACCTTATGAAAGGAATCCAAGGCAACTGTGAAACTAGTGATTCCAGAGCACCAAGGTTAATGCAGGTAACCTCTAATGTTCTAATGGGTGGAGAAGATCTGTTGAATCAAGCATGTCAGCATGTATCTTGCCCCGACTACTCTACTGGACTCCAATAAAAACAATGGTCCTCTTGGGTGATATTTTGAGGAAAGGCTTGCACTGATTTTATGTGAGAGGCCCACTCTTTAAAAAGAATCATGTTGCTTGCATCTATTATGTTTAAAAACTATAGTAAGAGGGAGTGAAACTGAAGAAAAAAAAATACCTGGCTTCCAAGTTATTTGTTAGCATATAAGCTGAATTGTGTGCATATTTTTTGTGCTATCTTGCTGCTTCTTTTGTATCAGTCTTCCCCTACCCCCAACATCAACTCACAGGTCATGACTGCTCCATAAAAGAAACTAACAAACAAAAAGACTCACAATCTGTCCTTCCTGCTCTCCCTTCCACTCTTTTCTGCTGTTGTTCTTCATCTCTGATTTTATAATCTACAAATGTACATTGCTAATAAATTCATTTTTCTACAGTCACTTGTTTGTTCAGTTAATATTTAATAATAGCTTCCAAAGAAAAGTATCTGCCCCTTCCCTGGTCTTGCTATCTGGTCCCCATACTCCATCTCCACTTGCTGTGAATCTAATAATGCTGCAGTCTCAAGTAAATCTTAGGTCCCAAATCTTGCAGCTGTCTTTAGAATGAGAGAGTCAGGTGGAAAAAAAAAATCACAAGAAAAGATTTGGATTCACCTAGCTTGGGTCAGAGATGCACTAAACAACCACCTGGAGCTAAGGAGATAGAGATATATGGTGTAGATGGAAGCCATCTCAAAACCACGAGGTGTCAGTAGAGGAATAAGCCTTTTCCAGTGGAGAAAGACCTACTGGGGAAACCAATAGCATTATCTATTCTATTATCTGGGTTAATATGAAGTGCAGTAGTTTTTTTACTATGGGGTTAAAATTTGTGTTTTAGAAGTTGTTTTACTTTTTTTGTTCGTGTAATTCCTTGTCCACTACTCCCTACCCCAGAATATGGCTATGGTGGTAGTAAGCCTTGAAGGGAACAGTTACTACTTGCAGTGGAGTTTAACCTAGATATTGTCCATGCATATCCATTCAGCACAAACTGGTATAGCACAGTGAGAACTGACACAGACAGAGAGTAAAATGTTTCTGGGAAGAAGGAAAGGATTCAACAAAGGAACAAAGTGAAAGAATACCTTTTTGAGTCCACTGTGAAAACATGATGAAACTGAAGTGTCAGGGGAATCTTACAGGAAATCAACTACTGGAACATTGTAAGTAACAGTTGAGAAATTTAGTTTTTATCTTTTGGTAACAGATAAATTAAAACTGGAAAAGATCATATTCATATTTGTGCTTTGGAAAACAACTCCAGTGGGAGTAAGGTCAATCAGAGGAGCAAAAACCAGATGTGAAAAATAATTATATATAAGTTTATGATAAATATTCCAGATAAAAGTCCTAGTTACTTCTTGATATGAGAGACATTGGAAAGGAAACATCAATAGAAACAGTAGTTAAGGGGGAGTTGAGAGAGATCCAATAGCCAAAGGTAAGGGAGAATGCAAACCTGAACTATTGGCATGAACATTGTGCCAGGAGGTTGATAATTAGTAGATACTTACTGGTGACCTGAAACCTAGGTTCAGTAGCACCCCCTTATCTACAGAAGATATGTTCTAAGACCCCCATATGGATGTCTGAAAGCAAGTGGATGGTAGCAAACCCTATGGATGTCTGAAAGCAAGTGGATGGTAGCAAACCCTATATATATATATATATATATATCATGTTTTCTCCTACCTATACATATCCAAATAAAATTAATGCATAAATTATGCACAACAAGAGATTAATAGCAACAATATACTATAATAAAAATTATGAGGATGTGGTGTGTCTCCCAAAATGCTTTATTTTAATGTAGATCATAGTGACCTCAGCATATAGTTTTTTTTTTTTTTTTTTCTGTCCTGATTAAGTCAAATGCTTTCACCTTTTCACTTAAATGAAGTCCTTTATAGTTCTCTTTGGCATGGCTGAATTGCCAGCATACTACTTTTGTACTTTGGGACCATTATTAAGTACAATAAAGGTTACTTAAACATAAGTGCGTGGTACTGTGACAGATGATCTGATCACTATGGTGGCTACTAAATGACTGATGGCAGTGTCATTTATCTTGTGGATGTGCAGGATGGAGCTGGACAATGTGAGATTTCATCATACTAAAAAAATCTAAGATTTTTTTTTTATTTTGGAATTTTCCACTTAAAAGTTTGGGCTATGATGCACCCTGATTGACTATGGGTAATGGAAACTACAGAGTGACACAGAGATGAGGGGCTACTGTGACATGAATGCAAAGACACCCATTTCTTTTATAATATGTCTAAGATATGTTTGAAAGTATCCAATGGTTTGTTTCTACAGGACAGATATTTTTAAAGGACACTATAAGCTAATCTACAGAATTCAGATAGAAAATAAGATATAGGAGAAATTAAATAATATGGCTTAAAAGCAATATATGATGGTACCATATGTTGCTCCCACTAGTTCATTTTTTGTTTGTTTATTTGGTAATGGGAATTTAACCCAGGGACACTTAACCACTGTGCCATATCCTCAGCCTCTTTTATTTATTGAGACAGGGTCTTGCTAAGTTGCTTAGGGCCTTGTCAAGTGGTTGAGGCTGGCCCTGGACTTGCAATCCTGCCTCAGCCACCTGAGTTTCTGGGATCTCCAGCATGAGCCTCAGTTCCTGGCCTACTAGTTGTTTTTAAGACAAAAAGAAATAAGAGCAAGAATACACATTTGAAGATTTACCAGCAAAATTAAGAGTATAGATCATGACACAAAGTCACTTTGTCTATTTTGTGGACTACAGAGTTTGCCTGATTCAATTATCACCACCACTACACACATATACCGTGTATAGCCAATTTTCTGCCTAAATGGTATCCAACTTGGCTATTTACAATTCACTGGACTTAGTTAAAACTCTAATAACAATTATTCGACTGATTTGACTTCCTGATGTAACCAGGAACTCTTCTGCAACAGCCCAGAATTAAGATGTCTTTTGTCCCTGACTTGTAACATCGATCAAGATGACAGTAGACCAGCTTGAATTTGTTCAGCAAATGATTCTGCCTGCATTTTATAAGGCCAAAAATATCAAATTAACCAGGAAAGAAACTTTCTCTAAATGTTGGAAATCATTTGCTTAAGTGTAATAAAAATTTAAAAAAATTATAGCCCTAGAATAGAATAAAATCATCACTTTTGAGAAACTGTCAGGAGGGATACCTACTATATTATTATTTTAATTCTAACTAAAAGGTGACTATTTTGACCATTTCAGGAGCTTTATAAACTTAGGATTCATTCCCTTTCATTCACTAGTGTGGTAGGTATTTACAGGTCTTTCATAACGTGTCAGTCACTATAGTAGAGACTGGTAAAATACAAAAAATAACGACTATATTAATAAAATAAAATTTTGCCGGCCTGCCAGAAATTATCCAAAGAATTTTTCATTTGTTTACTCATTTAATTTTCTTAAAGTTATTAGATCTGTAAACTTTCATTATTTCCAATTGAGAGATGAAAATATAGAAGTATAGAGAGATTAATTTACCCCCAAATATACAGCTACAAAGTGTTAAGCTGAGTTTGAATCCAGGTGATGTCTATAAGGACCATCTATAATAAAGGACAAAGACAAATTACATAGGAGCAGTACTGATCAATGCTTTGGCAGCACAAAGGAAGCAAAAATCATCTTGATACCAGGCAATGTAGAAAATCATCAGGGAAGGTCACATTTGCAATGTATCTGGAGTGATTTTTTATTTGAGCTGGCTGGTGCAACCATATATGTAGCTGGCATTATGGCATCAGGGTAAGGGCATCTTCCCAGTTCTAAGTTTTAAACCACTAAACACTCTTGCATTCTCTTGACTAGTTCTGTATCTCTTTTGTTTCCTAGTTTTGCTTTATATGGTAATTGTCAGTCTATATGGCCCCTCCACTAACAGTTTTGGCTTTCTACTTACATATGATTCAATGGGCCCTTGGCAACCTTTTCTTCAAGTCATGTGGACTCTTTGATGCAAGGAGGCACCAACCCCATCTCTGGGTAACAACCAAATTGAACTTTTCTTCCTGCTGGTTAATTTGTGAAACAGAAAACCAGACATATAGGATTCAATTTTTCATTGCTATAGCTTCTAATTTTGACAAAAGACACTAAGTGAAAACCCAGATATCCAAGATAAGGACAAGGGCAGAGTCATAAAATTTGTAATTCCTTTAAAGAACATTTTTTTTTTAGTGGGTCATTTATTTCAACCAGAAGTGAATCACTAGTGTTTTATTGGTCTTTTCCATACTAAAGCTTTGAACATGGTATACTTTGTTACCTTACCTCAGAGGCTCTTGTGACATGCTGAGGAGATCCAGGGCCCAAAGTTCTGAGTTCAGAAGACTGACTGTGGAGTTAGGTGAGGTACAAGAGGACATGAGATAATCAGTATTGTCTTTCCACTGATCACCCCTGGATTTTTACACCAAAGATGCCTTGTTTTCTGTTCAAACTACAGAGTAGCTTAGCTGAAAAAACTGTCTTCAGTACATGGCAATCTCAAATTCGTTATCATCAGGACATTCTCCATTATCAGCTTTAAAGGAAGGGAAAATACATGCAAGAAAATAAATTCTGAAATAAATAATTGAGCTTGTAAAGTTTTCATCCATAATTATTTTACCCCCTGGCCCCACCATCCTGGAAAAGCTGGGGAGGCTTCCTTCCAATGACCTGAGATTCCCTCCTCTCAAATTTACCAAATCTTTTCCTACTAAAAGAATTTCATATTAGAATATTGATCACAAAACTTGACGGCTCTGTAAACATGATCTCTTATGTATCAAGAACTGTATTTTGCTTCAAAACCTTAGCAAAAATGGGACCGCAAAGCAAAGCGAATAGGTGAACAAAAAAGTATAAAAAGGAATTCAGCGTAAATCTTATTTACCAAAAACAAAACCACAAAACCCATCAACAATGTATCTCCTACCACACAGACTACAACTTATACTGACTATGACTCACAATAGAATCACTTTTCAAAAGATAGTTACAATTCTCATGCTACTCATTCAATAAATATCCACCAATGACCAGCTATAGGCAAAACACTATGCACAGGGCAAACAAAGATGAAAAGCACGACTTTTGTCTGTAAAGTTTCTAATTGAGAAAGCTAGAAAAAAAAAAGCAACATACCTTAAGGAAAGGTGGTGAAGCCAAGAATTTGTTCCCTAAAGCCAAATCGCTGGGCTCAACTGTTTGCTAATCCTCCATTTCCTCCTTGGAGAAGTGAGAATTAAAATACTGAGCCCATATGTCTGTTGTTAAGGTCAAATTAGATAACGTGCACTCCGTGCTTCCTGCAGTAACCGTCCCACAGTTATCAACAAATAGTACCTA